ATCTGTGTTACACAACATATTTTCAACACAAGCTGTTTATGTTGAGCGTAAGCATCGGTAAGTGTCAACATGTATGGAAAAGACCATTGTGTTACAGCAAAACCACTATCGGTGGAATGATATTGTAATGTATAGAGTTTTTGCATTAATAAATTAACTTTTAATTAACATTACCTCATTGTTTCTTGACATATGTTTATAACCGTGATCCAATTTTCACATCTCAAAGAATCTTACAGACGGAAAATGTTTATCCAGAATTTAGACTACTGTTAAAAAAAAGTCGACGTGTAGGGATATATACAATCGGTACATTGTATTTAATGTCACTATAGAGACAATTTAATGCACGCTTCAGGGGCTGAACTTTTAACATTTTAATCTTTGGTAAAAGTTAACTTAAAGTCTGCACAAAAAGAAAAAAAAAAGAAATTCCATCCTTTCTAAATGCATGTTACGGATCTATTGAGAACAATTCACCAGTGCCTATGTTTTGACCTTGTAATGTTTAATCAAATTTGTTGGAAAATCAAAAATACATGTAGGCTTTACTCAACTTTTTATGTCAACAGGTTTTACGTAGATGCCGCATTTAATTAACATTGTTTATTTCAGTAAACTTAATTTTCTTACATAACATTAATTCAATTTCATTTAGTGGAATCAGGTTAACATTCTTAATTTTGTCCAAAACTATTAAGTTCAATTATCCTAAACTGTTATATCCAAGGCATGCCCAAAGTAGTTGTTTTTATTATTATTATTAAAACCACTTTAATTATTGTTAGCACGTCCTCACCACCGGTCTACACTTTACTACAATGGTAACCTCCAAAAACACTAACACACCAGAAACTCTTTTAAATATAATCATAAAAGAACATTAAACATTGACAAGTACCAATTTTTTATCCTGATGAAAATGATGGGAAGGGGGAAATCCTCTTGCTATATTGCTATGGGTATGTAATCTCAACCCAAATGGATTAAGTAAAATGGTTGAAAAGAATCGTGTTGGATTAACTCCATTGAACAAGCATCAAATGTTATTTTTGGTATACTGAAACATGAAAATATTGAGTTAAGTCAAACGCAACTGTTTCATGTCAGATTAACGCAATGTATTGTGCTTGAATGAGAAAGCTAATACAGCGGTGTTAAATGAAAAATATTTTGACTGAATTCTCTCCGGTGAGATGCAGGACATAGTTATTTATGGCGTCCTGAAGACCACCCCCGTACACAACATGGCGCAGTCCTGATAAACTCTAGAGCTCAGCCTCAGTTATCGCACGCAAGCCGGCTTCTCCTAACTGTTGTGTGTGTGGTGGTGACGATTCCCCCGCTAAATCCAGTTTTGACGCTACAGACGGTTGCTTCAGCGCCGTTGTATTCAAAATCAGAAAAAACGCGGACTGCTGTGCTACTACAACATCTTATTGATCAGGAGTTGAAGGAACATTTGGTTGTTACATGGCCTGCCAAAGACCGCTTCAACATTCCTGTATACCTGAGCATGACACGAATTGCGCTTCTTCGACTAATAACACTTTGGAGGATATGACCCATAAACCCAAACTTCAGAGTGTTAATGCACAAGACTTGGACGATTGTGCTGCAAGGACTCAATCACATGACATTCCAGGAACTATCCGAATCTTTCAACATCGAATAGGAGACAAAGTTTACACCATCCATGAAGTTTTGTTCTAAAAAATCTAAAAACTTCTAACTAAAGGCTTGATGGAGCACGACTGCCCGCTGAGTTCTGAAGATGCTGTGCACAAGTCTACGGTGTACGAGTGCGCCACGAGCAAAGAGTGTCGTTTAAGAGCTACGATAGCCTGTATGTTTGAAGATTATTTTAGAGGCCAGATGGTTGACTTGATGCATAAGATCATCGATGGTGCGTGTGATCCGAACCTTTTATGTTTTACGGGACTTCAATTTATGGGCACAAAAACCCACAATGTATTTCCCTGACATCAATAAATGTCAAGAAACAAGATTCTTGGCCACATATCATGGGCGTTGTAGGACCTCTGTTAAATCCAAAAGTATAGTCCTGTCATGAAACTCTAGATGGCGCAGGCTAATAGGTCAATAGGCTTGTTTGAGATGCGCCTCACCTGAAATGTAGCTGAGAGTATCGGCTCTCCTCACACACACACACACACACACACACACACAAAAATAACACAAATTAACAGAGGTGGGAGACTCGAGTCATATGACTTGACTCGAGTCAGACTCGAGTCGCAATTTTCTGGACTTGAGACTTACTTGACTAGATCTCTGAAAAGACTCGACTTGACTTTAGACTTGACTCGGACTTGTGCCTATTTACTTGAAATGACTTGTGCAAAAAAAAAAATCTCAATTATTGTAATTTTTTGTATACGCCATAAGAGGGAGCGCGGGCGGTAATGCACTCTGTGTGTGCGGGTTGAGGGAGAATAAAGCGTTGAGCGATGTAGCCAATCACAGACATATGTGTTGTTTTCTTGAACGCAATGGCCAATCAGAAGCATTTAAGATAGACTCCCCTCACCGCTCAAAACAGACTTTTTGTTCAGTGCTGAATTCTGTATGCTGGCAAATCCTCTAATTATAACAAACAAAGTGTATATATTATGAAACGTCATTGATAATAACAGATGTGTGAGATCACGATGAACTGTCAGCTTTTTAGGAATTATTAAGGGAGCGCACAGTCATGCCAAACCATGCACGCAGGAGCTGCTTGCTTTTATGTTATAACAATGGTTTGTGTGTTAATGCTTTAATAACAAATAATTTATCAGGAGCATTTATCCTGATGTTTATGGTGGCGACACGTAGGCTAAATTGAAAGTATTTGGATGTACAGAAAAAAGTCTATTTGCGGGCGGGAGCGGGACAAAACATAAATGTTGCGGGCGGGAGAAAGTAATATAGAAAGTAGTTGAGAACGTCAGTTACAACGACCCACGTATTAAAAAATAGCCGGGTTTAAATAATTTAAATGTTTAAATTTGTTTTCTTAAAATTTCCATATAATATTTAGTGTTATGCATGGGATCAAATCACCTGGATATTTAGAGTAAGAACATACAAACTTTTGCATACAGTACTAATTTAGAATGCAATATATATATTAGGGCTGTCAAATGATTAATCACGATTAATCACATCCAAAATAAAAGTTTTTTTTACATAATATATGTGGGTGCACTGTGTATAATTATTTTGTATATATTTAAATACACACACATGCATGTATATTTAAGAAAAAAAAAATATTTTTATATAAAATATTTATATTTATATATAATATAAATTATATATAAATCTATATACAGTATATACATGAAAATATTTCTTAAATATATACCGGTACAAGCATGTGTGTGTATTTATATATATATAAAATAATTATACACAGTGCACCCACATATATTATGTAAAAAAAAAAATATTTTGGATGTGATTAATCACGATTAATCATTTGACAGCCCTAATATATATATATTTTTACAAGATGGGAAAAGTTTTATTAATTCTTGTTTACTTGTGTTCATTTAATTTATTTTTATATTAGAGCATTTAAAGTGCTTCTTAATAATATGATATTATATTTTAAGTTAATTTATTTATTTTTGTAAACCATTAGCCCTCTGTGTCTAAATAAAGTAATAAAAGTCCCAGAGTAAAAAAATGTGTAAAACTAGCCTGTGTGCGACTTGGTATGACTTGATGACTAAGTTGCGACTTGACTTGACTTGACTTGACAAAGAGGATGACTTGACTTGACTTGACTTGACCCTTACAACAGAATGACTTGACTTGACTTTGACTTGCAATGTTAAGACTTGGACTTGACTTGAGACTTGCATTTAGTGACTTACTCCCACCTCTGCAAATTAACAAAAAATTTGTTAATAATAATAAGTCATGACCAGGAAAAAAAATCAAATTTTATTTTAAAAAAGTAAGAATGATTACAATTGCAAAATTGCTTCAAAAGTTTTAAATCTTATGAACATAAAGACATTAAATTCCTTTTCGTTATAGAAATTACTGAGAAAAAAAACTATATATAGGCCTATAATGAATAAGAATAGGATACCAATAATAAATGAATGATTTACATGTAACTCCACATAAATCAAAGTGTGTGGAGCAGCTAAACTAAGCTAGACAATGTAATAATATTCAGGTCATATATGGATTGATTTTTTCACATTGATGTTAACCTTCCATAATCCAGCATTTTCTTCAGATTTTTCAGATATAAATATATAATTTCATCTGTGTGTGTGTGTGTGTGCATGTGTGTATGTGTATATTCCAAGACTGTAACCTTGTATTGAAACTTGAATTTGTTTTGAAAGGATTAAAATGTATTTAAGGGAATAAAGAACAAGCACAAATTATGATCAAATGTTCTAATTATAGTTCAGTATCTAATCAATGTAAACTATTTGCAAATAATATTTTATTTTAATGCACACATTCACTCATATTTGTTTGTATAATATGTCAAAAACACAAAACGTTTCTTGTCTCGTCACAGTCAGAATTGCATGAATCATGTAAATTACATATTTGGTTGAAAAGAAAATCTGAGTACTTTGCATTACTGGACATTACTGTTGGTCGTTTACCATTTCTATCATAAAACAGTTGTCAAATGTAAAATGTTTACTATACTTATGTCTTACAACGCACTCTTCGACTGTTAAAACTAAAGCATCGGCTGGAATTCATGCTCGTCTTCTGTGAGCAGTAAAGCATGGCTACTTTAATTTGATCATTTTGACATTGACGAGTGCTGTTAGACTGCTGAAGCAGACCAGCCTAAAAATATAAAAAAAATGGTCATCCTAATAACACACAAAGTGGTGTGTAATGGAGTATAACTTATTGCTCTGGGCCCTTTACCAACTGAAGGATGGACCAGGGGTGGAGGATTTTTGTTGCAATGCGATTTCACGACTCTTAGACCAGTTGGACACACATTAGTTAAAAAGTCTATGAAATGCTTTACCAACAGTCCCACCAACAGCTGAACCAATAACTCCACCAACAGCTACACCTGTAGGCCCAGCAATGGCTCCAACAGCTGAACCAATAACACCACCAATGACTGCTCCAAAACCAGTTAATTTGCCACTTGCAAAAGCTGATAAACGGAACCTAGAATTATACTTTCTATCAAACTGTTCAAATCCAAGGTCACTTTGTGCTTTGTGTAATGTTATGGCTTTCTCCTTTGCAATTACCTCAATCTCATGTATTTTTATCCATTCTTCCTCACTCTGTCTCACTGCTTTACGTCTTTCAATTTCAGCATACTCTGTTTCTATATTCTGCATTTGGCTTCTTATTCTTTCAATTTCCACTTGTTGTTGTAACTGTTCTTCATCTCTCCGTCTCCACTCTCTCTGTCTCCTCTCTTCCTCTCTTCGTTTCTCCTCTTCCTCTTTCCATCTCCACACTTCCTCTCTCTGTCTCCTCTCTTTTTCCTCTCTCTGTCTCTTCTCTTCCTCTCTTCGTCTCCACTCTTCTTCTCTCTGTCTCCTCTCTTCCTCTCTTTGTTTCTCCTCTTCCTCTCTTCGTCCCCACACTTCCTCTCTCAGTCTCCTCTCTTTTTCCTCTCTCTGTCTCATCTCTTCCTCTCTTCGTCCCCACTCTTCCTCTCTCTGTCTCCTCTCTTTTTCCTCTCTCTGTCTCATCTCTTCCTCTCTTCTTCTCCACTCTTCTTCTTTCTGTCTCCTCTCTTCCTCTCTTCGTCTCCACTCTTCTTCTCTCTGTCTCCTCTCTTCCTCTCTTCGTTTCTCCTCTTCCTCTTTCCATCTCCACACTTCCTCTCTCTGTCTCCTCTCTGTCTCCTCTCTCTGCCTCATCTCTTCCTCTCTTCGTCTCCACTCTTCTTCTCTCTGTCTCCTCTTTTCCTCTCTTCGTCTCCCCTCTTCCTCTCTCCGTCTCCTCTCTTCCTCTCGTCTGAGTCTCTCGGCATCTTCATACATCTGATTACTGTAGTGTCCTCCTCCATTCTGCTCTATCATTGTGTCAATCTTCTTCAGTAGATCATTCACCTGATCTCTGTTATTCACATCTCTATTGTTGAAGACGTGAAATCTGCCTCCACACTGATCAACTAGATCTCTTAATCTACAGTTCTCCTGAATGAGTTCCTCTACAGACTTTCCTTCTAGCAGATCTCCATGAGTGAAGAGAATGATGGAGTACTTTAACACTTCTTCACCAAACCTCATCTCAATCTGCTGAGGAATCTGCTGTTCCTGCTCTGTGAATCTGTCAATAACTCTGAGAACAATGATAAAAGCGTGCGGTCCAGGACTGGATATATAAACACTTCTCGCTATCTCTGTTATTAACTCATCAGGGCTCAGGTCTGTGTCAAAGAATCCAGGAGTATCAACTACAGACACAGATCTGCCTGAAACAGTGGCGTGAGCAACTGAACATTTACTGGTTGCTGAACTCGAACTCTGCTCAGATCTGAACTCTTTCTTTCCAAGTATTGTGTTTCCAGCTGCACTCTTCCCAGCACCAGTTTTACCCAGAAGAACAATCCGTCTGGACAAATGGCTTGTGAAATCATAACCAAGAGTTAATGTTGTGACCGTTGTGATCCGTCTGGGCAGCCTCCCTCCTTCTGATTAAAGACAAAACAGACATTAGTTATTTAGATGGAGTTCACTTACAGGACAAGAGACCTACATTTTCCTGTGCATTTATGCCTCAATGTTAGCCTTACTGAAACATCATCATCATCATCATGTTTTCTCTTTGTTCATCTGGCTGTCACAACTCAGTTACAGCAGCCAAACAAAATCTAAAGTTAAACCGTTAAGGGTCAAGAGCCTCCATAATGATAAAGATCTCCATAATGGTGACTTAAAATGTGTGATTTTCCTCCTTCAGTGATTCTGCTTGTTAAAGGGATACTCCACTTTTTTTGGAAATAGGCTCATTTTACAACTCCCCCAGAGTTTTACCGTTTTTGAATCCATTCAGCCGATCTCCGGTTCTGGCGAGCCTATTGGAATGGAGCCTATTTTCAGGCGCTGCGTCATATCATTACGCCTACTGCTCTCATGGTACAGCAGTAAAGTTTCTTGATTATTACGCAGGAATGAGAGTATAGTTCCTAGCCATATCAGCCTAGAAAATCACAACTTTACATTTTCATTCTGTTGTAGTGCACAATGTAACTACAGAAGTCAAGTTTTAAATAGGAAAAATATCGAAACTCTTTGTTCATTTTTTTTGAGAAATCCTAATGGTCTTGTCTACTTCAATGATGTATGCTAAGCTATGCTAAAAGTGGTACCGCCAGAACCGGAGATCGGCTGAATGGATTCAAAAATGGTAAAACTCTGGGGGAGTTGTAAAATGAGCCTATTTCCAAAAAAAGTGGAGTATCACTTTAACATCAGGGGCCCTATCTTGCACCCAGCACAATTGACTTTGTACACCGACGCATGAATCATTCGTATTTTGCACCCGCGTAAAGCAGACTTTTCCCTGCACAGACGCACGCTGGCAAACTAGGGACTGAACTTGCGCTCCCTGGGCGGTTCAGCGCAAAAAAGGAGGCGTGTTTCGGCGCAAACATTCCCTGGTGCAATTTTGCAGTTCCAGAAAACAATTGCGCCACTGACCAGAAAAAACCTAGTCTAAAGTCAGTGGCGCGTTGCGCGTACATTCAGATGCTATAAGCGCGCGTGCTTGGCCATAATACAGAGTGTGAACAACGCGCATACACTGTAGAGGATTCTCTCATCTATACAGATGCATTTTCCTTTTTGCAAATGATACATTATTATAAGGAAAAAGATTAAAATACGAGCGAAATCATTGTTGTGTCCATGACGATGGGGAAAAATAGGCATAAAGCTTACACATTTACCCAAATTATTATATGCATGTTTAACCGAAGCTAATTTGGGTGGGTTCGTCCCATCCCCAATGTCACTTCTCTTTCTTTTACGGCCCTGACGAGAACATCGATCTCCTCGCTGTGAACCGATTCTGAAGCGCGCCTGGTAAATGCGCAGTTATAATAGTATTGCGCCATGGATCAAGCGCACCTCGTTCATCATGCTCTTAAAGGGAATGTGATATGACGCTCTGATTGGTTTATTTCACGTTACGCCCAAACCACACCTATGAATAATGAAGCTACTTCAGACCAACCCCTTTTAGATTTGCGTCGAGCGCAAGAGTAATTTATCCCGCCGGTTAAATAGCAACAGCGCCCGGGATCCGCCCACAAAGTTACTTGCGCTTTGCGCTTGACACTTGCGTTTCAGATTGTTAAAATAGGGCCCCAGGTGTCTTCAATAATGGCCAATCATCACTCAATTATTCACTTCATTATCTCATTAACCTTAACACTCTTGAGTCTGGATCAAATAAACTCCCAGGAAAGTTCATTTAACACTGGAGTTTTTGCTGTGGGTGGAATAAAAATATGGCAGGACTTTTACTTTCTGACCCCTGGACTTTCCACCTCTGCGACTCATATAAACACTGAGCAGTGTTCACACTGGGGATTTTGCTGTGCTTTGATACAATATTTTAAAAATCAGCTGAATGTTATCTAAAAATTATATTAGAATGTCTTCCATTTTGATAAACAATCTATAGCCGTGTTTCCTTTACCCTTCAAATTGTGCAAATTGCGAATTGAAAATACGCCCAATGGAAACACATCAATTTCACAAAAACAACTATATATTGCAAAAAAGTTTTCACACTCGTATAAGGTGGTGTTTAAAGCAATTTCAAAAAGGAATATTTCGCAAAACTGCAATGGAATCAGTTTTTGTGCATTTACAGTCACATGACGTAGATCACGCTGTATGTTTGGACAGAATACGAGACAGAGTCCTTAATTAAACTCATAAAAGATCAAATAATTACAGGAATACTGGATTCTAAACCACAAAGAAATGCCACAATTTATCAAGAGCTTGAAGCAGAAATGAGGGAGAAACACAGAAACAGCTCATATGAGCCACTCCCAGTATAAGAGTCTTTCCTTGCCAGTAAAGCTTGGCTACACGCCTATGTCTCCTTCCATTAATAATACTAGTGACTAGTGCGGTGGCTGGGATAATAATAAACCTACCAGCATATTTTGCCATGATTTTTGGAATGACATTATCATCGGTTAATAGTAACGGTGTCATTGCGCAATAGTTTTTAGCGTCATTTAGAAAATATCGCAAACCTTTTGCGCAAATATGTAATGGAAACGCACGCGGCTTGTGTTGTATTGATTTTGAGCTAGGGTTTGTTTGTACAGCGAATTTGATCATTTGCGTTGATTGTAACTCAATGTTGATATCTCTCAAAAATAATTTTCCCTGATATAAAGTAGTATCATGAAAGCACAATTTTAATCAAGGACCAGAACTATCAAAACTGCTTTTATAATAAAAAAAATAATAATAAATATTTGAATATATGATTTTTAAGAAGACCCACCATTTACCCCAAATGAAGTCTGGATAATTTTTGCAAGTAGTAATCTAGTTTGTTTGCTTGGTCCTCTTATCTTGTTGTTCAACACATGATATCTCTGATTGTACTTCTCAAGTGTCTTCAATGCATTATTTCTTTCAAGAAATTCCTTTATTGTCGTGTTTCTTTCCTCCAGTTCGTCTCCTCTGGTGAAGAGAATCCAGGTGTTATTCAAGCGGTTTTGTCCCAAAAACCTCTCAATCTTCTCCACAGTTCTTCTCTCTTCTTCAGTGAATCTGTCAGCTTTGATGACCAGCAGAAACACACAGCGACCTGATTCACATCTCTGGAAAATGCTCTGATTCTGGGTAAAAGTCCCAAATGATCCTGGTGTGTCATAAACAGTGACTGGAAAACCAAAGACGGACCCAGATTCAACCGCAACATGTTGTGTGACTGAAAAGGAGCTTTCATTTGACTCAAAAACTTGTCGTCCCAGTATTGTGTTTCCTGACGCACTCTTCCCAGCTCGTCCTGTCCCCAATAAAATCAAGTTTAAATGTTGTTCCATTATCGATGTGTGACCTAAAATTAAACAGTGAGAGACAGGACAATTGTTTTATAAGATTTGTTTTCTCTCTAATCTCTTATCTTCTCTTTTTCATTGGACACCTTTACATTTTCATATTTTCCTTTACAGTTCTAATCACAATTTGCAGCACACAGTTTAAATTATGGTTTTACATTCTAGCAGCACCTTGAAATAAATGTTAGTTTTTGTCAAAGTTAAAGAAGCATCACTTATACACTACCGTTCACAAGTTTGGGGTCAGTACGTTTTTTTTTTTTAAAGAAGTTAAAGAAATTAATACTTTTATTCATCAAGGACATTAAATTGATTAAAAGTGACAGTAAAGACATTTATAATGGTACAAAAGATTATATTTCAAATAAATGTTGTTCTTTTGAACTTTCTATTCATCAAAGAATCCTGAAAAATAAAACATATGACAGTTTCCACAGAAATCTGAACTGTTTTAAACACTGATAATAATCATAAATATTTCTTGATCATCAATGATCATATTATAATGATTACTGAAGAATCATGTGACACTGAAGACTGGAGTGATGCTGAAAATTCAGCTTTGATCACAGGAATAAATTACACTTTACGATATATTCACACAGAAAACAGCTGATTTACACTGGAAAAAATATTTCACAATTTTTACTGTATTTTTACTCAAATAAACACAGCTTTGGTGAACAGAAGAGACTTTTAAAAACATTAAAAATCTTAGCGACCCCAAACTTGTGAACGGCAGTGTAGGTTAATAAACCAGATTAGGCTTAGTTTCATCAAACAGCTTGTGACATGTTTTATAAATGTGATGACATCTTGTTGCATGCACAAATTATGATTCATAAATATAAAAGAGAACATTTGTATTCAAAAAACGCTATTTGTACAAACTGTCACATTGATTTAATTTTGAGTTTTACAGACATAATTTAAAAAAGCCTTTAATCAGAGTTGCAGAATGTAAGTTGATGGATTTTTGAGCATGCATTTGTTACTTTTGAGACCAATTTAATCTCACATACCATGGAAAGTCACTCTGATTCTGAAAAAAAAAAAAGAATTAAAAACAAACTGATTAATGAATCATATTAAGCAATAAAGGCAAACCTGAGAGCTGCTGTCTTTCTCCGCATGGAAATATGTCAATTGTCTGAAGCCCAAAAGACGAGTGAACTTTCTCGGCTGGTCTTTATATAGACACTGTGGTTAGTGAAATCACATGATCAGAATGATCAGAGAGCTGTTTTCTTTTGTAAACATGCAAGAGGACTAATTTACAATTAATTGTATAGAAATATTCGTTTGAGTGTAAACTCTGCCAGATTCACAAGATCTAAGCCTAAACTTGTTCTCTTCTGATATAGATGAGAAAGTGGATGAACACCGTTTGGTAATTAGCATATTACATCTTCAAATCATGTCCATATAAGGTCTTTTCACACAATCTCTCATCTACAGTCGTTTTTTTCTGAAACCATATTTTGATGCTCTAGATGAGTTTTAAAAGGAAGCCAAATGTGCCAGTATGACACACAGATACACACTCTTATTTCAGTGTTGTTGTTAACATTGTAGCCTAGTTTTTAAGCAGAAAGTTTGCTTCATACGTTCTGTTTAACAACATTGTTACGACCCCCGAATTAGTCTAGGGGTTCGGGAGTCCAACATTTTAAATGTGGCATTATAGAGGAACATATAAGCCATGGTTTGTACAAAAGACCCAACAATCAAGCTTAGGACTGTGCAAAAAGCCAAAACCTTTATTCAGTAGGCTAAACAAGGTAAGTGGCAAAAGTGAAGTGAATTGATACGAATATAGATTAATATAAATAGACGTGAGATACAGAATTTCTGTAAAATAGATTAAGTTAATGAAAAGAGAAAAAGATAGACGTGGACGGCGCCAAAGAAAAGAAAATAACAAAACCAAACGAAGTCTAGCTGTTAAATAACCTCTACTCCTAACTAAGAAAATAAAGAAGAAAACAATAATCTTCAGCGTCCAAGACGCCCTACCTAATCTCCACTAACTAACAGAAAACAGAAATACAGGGAGTGGCACTCGCCCCTAACCTAATGTGTTTAGACAAAAGCGAAAACCCCTGCGTGTTGCAGTGTATGTCACGTGACATGCTACCTGTCTATCTCTCTCTCCGCACTAGTAACCTTCAGCGGAGCAAGTTACATAAAATCAGAGAATTAAACACAGGAAGAGTTCACTCATACATAAACTCAGCATCACACAGAGTGAACGAGAACCACAGCCTTAACAGGGTATACAAAGTCATGACAGCAAGCTGCGTCTGAGTCTCAGCGAGCCGAGAGCTTCTGTGGAAACGTCTGGCGTGCACTCTCTGTTCCCATTGGCGACAGCGAGAAGAGGTGACGTCAGCGCTAACAATGATTGACAGGTCACTTAGCCAATCACGGGTACCTGCAAAAGCGAAAGTAACCGAGAGAGAGCGGGAGGAGAAATACAAGAGAACAAACACCAAATACAGGAACGTAACAAACATTAACAGAGGAGCAAACTTTCAACCTTTTTTGCACATATTCATTTCAAAAACGTGCGTTATGTTATTGCTCCGTCTATGCCTGTACTTGGCCCATGCATGAGTATCCAAAATTACACATTAAAATCAATCAGAGCTATGGAAATGTATATTCATATTTTACAATTAAATATGAAGATACATAGTCATGAAGATATATTAAACTTCCAGTAATTGGCACCCTGATAGCACACACATATCTCTGCACATTTTTGCTCTTGTGATTGTCAGCCTCTGCTTTTCGCAACAGACTGAAGTTTCATTGTGAGTGTAACGCACCTTTTCTTTCAGCTAATAAAAGCTGGTGTTATGATTGGTCTGTGCATTCAGCCTTTCGTCAAACATCTCAACACAGCCTGCCTCAGATTGTTTAATGGACACAAAAATGTTGTATTTAACTCTACACATCTGTAGTTGCATTCAAAACAAGATTTAGTGTCTACCCAGCTAATAGACTTTTGTTATAAGAACGTTCTCAAAAATTCAGTGTTGGTTCTGGGAACATAAAAAATGTCCAGTTTTGTTGAATTTTAAATCGAAATCTAGTTGAAACATTATACCTTTTAAAACACGTTCCTACCGTCAAGAAAACTGAACATTTTTCACGTTCCCAGAACCAACACTGAGTATTTGGAGAACGTTCGTATAACAAAAGTCTGTTAGCTGGGTATTCTATTTCAAAACCTGCTGCATTTTTTCCCATGAGAAACTTTATGTTGTCAAGCAGTTGAGTCCCTGATTAAATCAGTGGTCAGATAGAGATAACAAGGACTTCCTGTCTAAGTGACGATTAAATCTTGCTGACGAAAAAAAACAAGGCCATGATGAAAACGAACTCTGCAGGTTTGAACAGTGAAAACACACTCAAAAGACCGTCACAGGCAGATCTTCAAAATAAAGAAGCACTGTACTGAAAATCCAAATACTGTATGTAGTTTTTAGTAGTAGAAGTGTTAAATATATCAAATAATGCCATTTTAAAATGTATTTAGTATACTCAATTATATAATAACAACAATAAAATAATAATATAATCACAATTAATAATCCTCTCTGAACCTAAAAGGCAATATGTCCAGTGGTTCTCAACCAGGGGCCGCAGTGATCCTCCAGGGGGGCGGATATATTATTAATATAAATAATTTTTTTTTTTTATTAATACGTTAAATAAAAAATATAAATTCAATTAATTATCCACCTCTCATACATATTCTGTGATTGTTTCGTTGCAGCCCAAAGCCATTTCTCATCACACTGCACTGTAAAACCTTGCTGTAAAAAAAAACAGCTAAATTCTGACAATAACATACTATTTTCAATTAAAACAGTAATATACTGTAGAAAACAATGCATACTGGGTAATATTTGTCATTTTCGAGAATGTAGTTAATAGGAATATACTGTGAGTTAACAGCGCTCAAAGTCAACACTCAGAGGCTGTGTTCCCAATCACACCCTAAACCCTCATTCACTATTCCCTACATTAGTTCACTAATATGGTCCACTTGAATGGAAAGAAGTGAGTGAATATAGAAACCGATGAACACCTGATAAGCAGAATCACTGAAGGACAGAGAAACAAGAACAGGAAAAAGAGAAACACAAGAACTGTAACTGAGTTTATAAAACATTTGTTATGGCAAGAAAAAGTCAAGAGGAAGTTGATCAGGTGTTTTTGGCTGTTGTGATGATGCCATAATTGTCTTGGATATCTTGTTCGCCGATCTTTTTTTTGGGGTGTTAGGCTATATCTTTTGTTAATAATGTAAAACTTTTGATAAGAGATTAAACACTGGATGAGATCAGTGAATCAAGAGACTACATGATTATATCATCATAAATACATACATATCAGCATTCAATTATCTATTTTTTATTTTATTTGAAATGTAATGTAGGATTTGGATTCCACTACTGCACTCGTCTATTTTACTATGGAAGGCATTATCGGTACTTTTGGCGAAAGGAAAGTCAGTTGTAGTTCTTGTGTTTCTGCTCGTCTCTTTTTCTATTCTCTTCTTTCCTTCAGTGATTCTGCTTGTTAACAGGCTTATTAAGGCTGAGATGACTCCATATTTAATATACACCCAATTTTGTGGCTCAGATAAGATCTGATAAGATTTGTTTTTTTTTAAAGTTCTGTCACATTTATAATGTTGGCCTCTAGTGTGTTGTTATTAATTTAACCCTAAAACAGGCAACGTGTACCACGGGTATTATATTCTTTAGTCTATTGTAGGAGTTGCAACGTCAAAGTTGCAACGACATTGCAACTTTCAAGGCCCAGAAAAGTGGTAAAGACATCTGTGGCGAGGGGGGCGTGGTTTTGCGGAGTCTGTAGCGGGAGAGAGAGGACGGAGCAGAGCGGAGCGTAAGTAGGTCAAGTGCAGATGATGAACACCTGTGTCTGATTTCAGTAATTGGCGTGGAGAG